AGCTACCTCCCTACCCACGCATGCACCCCCAGAAATTTCTTTCCCCTTACCGCTGACAGTTTCAACCACCACAGACGTGCTTGTGCAGGTAGCCTCCCCTACCCTGACATTATAATCATCATTCCTTGTTTCGCTGACCCTTACCTCTAGGTCACCATTTCCATCCACCTCATTGCCAACTTGCGCCTCCATGTCATTATCATCATCTTCATGCTTGCTTGCTACTTCAGCCGTTTGGACATCTTTATCACCATTAGAGCTATGATTGGCACTATTACCGTGTTGGTGATGACACATGCATTGTTTATTCACCACCTTCGCAGTAACAATCTGATCTTCACATACTTTTATCGGATACAACACCCTTTTGCAGTCCAAAGTTATAGTTTTGTTGATGGATTCCATGCACTTTGTACCTATTCTTACCTTGCCACAGATCAAGTTTTTCATATTAGAAGTATCATCATCCAGACCAATCACTTCCCCTCATAATCTGCCTATTGCATAAAAAGTGTTGTTGTTCCATAAGTTTAAGGGAACACCATAACAACTCAACCAAACAGCTCTTTCTTGTTCAATGGCCATCCTCTGTTTCCATTCCGTGATCGATTCAGACCATTCCTTTACCCAAACCTCCATTTTCTTGAGTTTTTCTCTCATGCGTTCCACTGATTGAAATGATAGAACTATGTCCCTACCCCCTCCATCTTGAACCTCAATGTCCTCCATGCCTCTAGTCCTCAACTCTTTTTGGAAATCTACCCCACAGCACAACGATTTTAATCACACGATTGCACTATTGTACAACCATCCATTCCCTACTTTATATACTTTGAGAGTTAAGTTTGCACTAGCGATAGATCTTTTTCCACTTACAACATGGGCATAAGATTCCTTACCTTTTATCTTCCAAGAAACCTGTCCAGCACCTCTCATATCCTGTCTTTGAGTTGGTAGATATAGAGGCCTTTTCTGTGCTTCGTTACGTCTAACAAACTCTACAGCTTTCACTTTCAAAGCTCTGTTATCACACCATAATCCATTTGCTTTCTGGACTGCCATGCTTGCTGCAATTGAACAATTATATCTCATAAATTCAAACCTTGAGCGCGTCATCTTCCTTCTTTTATGGGGTATGAATACATCTTGCACCACTCTGAAGTTGGTGAACAAAGTATACAGCCCTTTGGGTTTCATTGACTCTAGTAGGTTGTCAACAAAAACAATGTAGATGCCTGACTCCGATCTTTGATGCATACTCCTTGCACCTCCGTGCTTGCGTATCATTGGCTTCCAACCTCCTTCCTCCATTTGTTCTTTTCTTCTAACTTTGAAATCGTGACTTTTATGGTGCCTTCGACGATATCGACTTGGTGGACGAGAAGTATGTTATAATGTGTTTCAACTCGACTATGCACCTAAAGAGACTATTAAGGTCTCGTTTGGTAACTACATGTTTTAGTCAAAAAGCTAAAAAATCACTATAAATTGTCACATCACTTTCTGTACTTTTCTACATATCTTTTCATAAAAAGTCAAAAATAGAAAAAAGTTACTAAAATAACTTGTTCTCATATAAGGCATAAAATGGATGGGGTTGTGCGGACTGTGTGTCTGAGAAAGAATTGGTCTTCTATGGTGTTGTACAATTGCAGTATAGCGATCCCGGGTTTACCCTTGTTGTATAGTGATCCGGACATGTGTCCGTGGATGTTGGTAGTTGTTTATTATCTTGTTTACATCCTTTCCTACTTTGTATTTGAGTTATAGGATGTGTTGGGCGGGTTTGTTACAGGTTGGTTGAGTTTAGAAACCAAAACTAGTTGCCGAAGAGTACCAGAAGGCAATGAAGAAAATTGTCTGCTCACAATGATTAGTATTTTGATTTCTTCTTTTGTACAACTTTAGGATGAGTCCAGATATATATGGTAGTGAGAAAAAAAAAAAAAAATACAAACAGAGTTTGGTTTTTTGGTATAAATATGACAGTTTTATATTTGTAATTTAATCATGATGTTGTGAGTGACTCGAAATATGTTTAATGGTGTAGACAAATACAATCACCTTGTTTGGTTTTGATTGATTTTCTAAAAATCGAGTTTTTTATTTTTCATTTTTTTGATTTTAGTAATTTTTATTAATATTTTAAGTAAAGTTTTTACTTCTAAATACGCATAACTTAGATTCATTTAAAGAGTAAAAAATTTGGAAACAAATATTTAAAAAATTCAATAAATATAAAAAAAATACGAAAATGTACTAAATTTTTATATTTTTTGTATTTGATAAATTCTTTTTTTTAAAAAAAAATCATAAATATTATACTTTTTAGGGTGAAATATTAATAAATCTCAAAATGTAATCTTGTGAACTGTTTTGTTCCCCTTTTTTCATATAAATTTAAAGGTCTCATTAAAGTGAAAATTACACAAAATGGTAGTCGCTTACACATTTGGGTTTAAGTTTTTAAGGAAAAAAGTGGATTTCTCCAAATGTGAAATCACACATTTAGGCAATCTTCACTATAGAGGTTTTGGATTCCTTCCTTTTGGAACAAGTCCCACATTACGAATAAGAACATAACACTACAATATTGCACTCCAATAACATAATACTCCAATGTAACACATTAAAAAAGTTCTTAATGTACTTTTCTCAAACGTAACAACTTAACACTATAAACTTTTCCTAAACGTAAGACTCCAATGTAATACAAAAAAAATTTCTTAGTGTACTTTTTCCAAACATAACACTCCAATTAACATAATCTCAAATGTAACACTCTAATGTAACACACATAAAAACACTAAAAAACTACTTAATGTACTTTTTGCAAATGTAATACTCACAGTTTGAAATTATACATTTACCCAAAGTTTACTGAGAAATTTTTGTACTCATTTTGGAATGATTTAAAGAATCCCACACTTTTTTAGAATGGGTTGAAGAATCCAATATCATTTTTTTAGTGTTATATTGGAATGTTACGTTTGTAAAAAGTACACTAAAAAATATTTTTATGTGTTACATTGTAGTGTTACGCTAAAGTTTTTCGAAGTGTTACATTAGAGTGTTACAGATTGAAATTATACATTTGTTCAAAGCTTACTATGGAATTTTTGCATTTCTTTTGAAATATTTGAAAAATCTCACATCATTTTAGAATGTTTGAAGAATTCCATATTTCAACCCATTCAAAATAAAAAAGATTCGCATAAAAATTTATCTCAAATTTGATTCTCATAAGTTATGTATCTTACCTTTCTAGTACCCAAAAAAAAAAAAAAAGAGAAAGAAGACAAAATAGAAATAAAGGTATAACTGTAAAGCTAATTTTCAAATAATATATTAAATTTATTTTTTCAAAATTAATGAAACTAACTAGTTTACAAGAAAACTCTTAGGATACTAAAGATGAAAAAACATAAAAAACAAAAAATTCAATTTTTTAAAGAGTGAACTTAATTTTCTAAGGACAAACAAGATGAATAATGTTATAATCTTCATTTCTAAAGACAAACAAGATGAATAATGTTATAATCCTCAATTCTTTTTAGGATACTGTGCAGTGCACCCAAAAGAATTTCCTTCTTTTTTTCATATTTTTCATAGTAACTCATTATAAGAGCATCTCCAACTGTTCATTTTTATTTTTTTTTAATTAAATTTGAGTAAAAACTCCATTTGATATCAAGTGCTCTAATTGAAGATATTGGACTTTCATCAAAACATTGGATGACCGGAAAAATGTCCAACCAATTGATCGTCCAGTGTATTTTTTTCACAAATTTTTGTCTAGAGATAGTCATCCGAGAGGACATCCGATGGTAAAAATCAAACGATTATGAATAGTAATTTGATGAAAGCTCCAGACGTCCTCAATTTGATAAAAGATTTTTGATATCATTGATTTAATACTAATTTGATGAAATCATTGGAGCAAAAAAAAAAAGTTATTTTTTCATCAAATTTAAATTTGATGAAAGAATTAATGAACCATTGGAGATGGTCTAAGTCATGCTTAGTGTAGTTTATTGTAAATTAAAACTTGATAATTAAAAAATAGAAACTAAACCACCATTTCTCTAACTTTCAAATAATCAAAAATTTCAACTTATTTAAGTTATTTTTGCCCAATAAATTATAAACAAAAATTTCACTAAATAGTATGATATAAACTCTTAAATTAAAATAAACCATTTTGTAGCAAACAAGGCTCTACACTGTTGGATTAGTGATAAAACATAACATCGACTATCAATCATTAATTTGCAAACTATGCCACATCATGAGAAAAAAATATTATTATAACATACATATATATATATATAGAGACGAACTTAGGGTTTTAATTTAAAACCGATAAAAATATATACTAGCAAAAATTTTGATATATATACGAACACTATAAATCCTTAAAATTTGAACCTTCTAACAAAATAAATCTTAAATTTTTAATTTTATTAATTTAAATGCTAATTTATTGATTTGTTTCAAATCTAAAACCTTGCAACAAGTAAAAATTCCTATCCTAACTAATTCATAGATTGATTTTTTCTAAAATCAAGAGCAGTGCATATAGTAGTAATCTTCAAGAAAGACTATTGTTAGAAGCCTGCATGACAGACGAAGCACATACCCCTGTATAATTGGAATACTAACACCAAAATCACACCAACAAAACCAATAATTCATCAAAAACATTAAAGGGAAACTACATGTAGGTGGGAGTTAAGAAAAAAAATTACAAACACATGAGGGTGCAAGTGTACATATGTGGTAGGGTGCAAATGAAAAGCTGTGGATGTGCAAGTGTCACTTGCACCCCTCCATGTGTTGGCAATTTTTTTTGCCCAAATCTCACATGCATGTAATTCCCCCAACATTAAATTAGACACATTTGGAATAGAACATAAAATTCACTAGTTTAATAAAACAAACAAAAATATGACCAGCAGAGTTGCAGTATTTTTTTTTTAATTTGCCAAGTTTTTTCTACCAAATAAAAAACCAAAAACTACAGTCACTCTGCATAACAAAAAGTTCAAGCATACATTACACTGAATTGTGGAGGAAAGAAGGAATCTGAACCCCTTAGTCAAAAAGACTGAAGCCCATATCCTGCAGCAAGTTAGAAGAAAAGAAAAATCAATACCATTATGTTTGAAAGTTGTTCATATGCAAAGAACATGCATGAATGCGCACAACAATTTAAAAATAGAATAATGCTAGATTGGTCATATTTGAATAGCATATTTGGGAACCATCTGCTGTGGCACCTCATATGACACTAACTATAATATTCACCTTTTATCTAAAATGAATGGACAATATAGTTTGAATCCATCAGTGTTATGGTTAGTTTGAATCCATCAATGTTAAACAAGTTAACCAGTAAACAGGTTGAAGCTCAGATAACCATGTAAGATGCGAGAAGAACTGAGATAACATAAGTAGCTGGGCGAAATGAGATGTCAAATCTCAGAATTCCAGCAACAATGTGATTAAGTGGATAAAAACTTACATCATCTGACTCCTCTTTGTCTTCCACCTTTTCCTCTTTCTTGGGCTCAGCTGCTGCTGGAGCTGCTGCAGTAGCTCCACCACCATATGAGGTCACTGCAACAGCATCACCGCCACCAGAAGGAACTGATGCCAACTTCTCTCGTCCAGATGCAATGAGCTCCGTTATATCCTTACCCTTGACCTCCGACAAAAGGAGCTGAATCCTATCATCATCAGCCTCAGCTCCAACTGTATGAAGTCAAAACAAAGACATAATATCAAACAATACAATACAACATCACTTCTTATACAGGAGGCAGCTGAAATTAAAGGAATGCATCTTACATAGATTGCTTCAGGATGACCAATCCTTAGTCACTCTAGGAAAAATCAGTGTCGGGATTAAAGCAGTTAAGATCACACTAGTTTCAACTTTGTGTTTATGTCGTCAAAGAAATGGCAGTCAAGTTTTATTTTGCATTATATAAAAAATCATAAAAGTTAATGTCATAACCAAGTAAAACAATTGCATTATAAGCAACCCAGATAATTAGTCATTAATTTTGGGATACCTAAAAGGCAAAATGAGTCGACTGTACCCACCACAATTTAGGTTAGAGCTTCACCAATGGAGGTGTTAAAATTGTGTATTAGTGTGTTAACTAACATAAAACAATAAAAGTAAACCCATTTTATGTGTATGTTAATTTAGAGAGTGAATAAGTACTACAATGGAGATGTTAAAATGTATGTTAAGTGTGTGTTAAGAATAAATAAATAAATAAACAAGTGTGTTAAAAAATTTACTACTAAGAATCACAATATTCTCATATGTGATCAGTAGTCACTCCGAGGGCCGGCCCTAACCTAAAGCAGGTAAGGCTTTGCCTTAGGCCCCAAATTTTGGCCAAAAAAAAGGGCTCCCAAATTTAATGAATTGTTATAGGACCAACCCCCTTTTTTTATTTATTTATTTATTTTTTTAAGATCAATTTAAAGGGCTCCAAAATGTTTTATTGGGCCCATGTAAAATTTAGCTCATATTTATTTATAAATGTGTTTGGCCCATATTTATTAAAATGAAAACATATAAAAAAAAAAAAAAAACAAAATAAAACAAAAACAGAAGAAGTGTTTGGGCCCAACCCAAACCATACATACACTATATACAACATCACTTTCACTTCAGTGCACTGTTTTGCTTTCAATCTCTCTCTCTCTTTAACGAAGTAATGAAATGAAGATCACGGCAATATGTACCAAGTTCAAGGCAAGGCAGACGCAGAGCACAACATTGTTGTGAGTGACTCACTCTCTCTGTTTCACTCACTCCTCTGGCGACTCACTCTCTCTCGGTAAATCTTCTCTCTCACTATCAGATTTTATTGAATAAAGTTACTTTAATTTTTTTTCTACATTCTTTCTCTATCAGTTAGTGGAATAATAAATTTGCCCTAATTTTTTTTTACCTTCTTTATCCATTAGATTTTAGTGGAATAAATAATTTAGCCCTAATTTTCTTACCTAGGTATTTATCAGTTTTAATTGAATAAATTTTTTGCCCTAATTTTGTTTCATTAAATTTTTTTTTTTATAATTTATTTGCTATCAGATTAGTGGATTGTGATTTGTGGATTGAAGTGTTTGTGATTTGTGGATTGATTTGCAGTGTTTGTGATTTGTGGATTGAAGTGTTTGTGATTATAGCCATGTTTCCTAGGAAGTATAGTTCTGGATATGAAAAGAGAAAGAATATGATGAAAGTAGAACAATTAATTCAAGTATATGAAAGTAAATTTTAGTTTATAATTTTAATGATTATATGTTCAAGTATACTTAAATAAAAAATTTGTGGATACTTATCATTTTATACATAAATTTTTTATGAAAAAAGATATATATTAGAGGGGCCCCATTTTTATAGTTCGCCTTAGGCCCCACAAATCTCTGGGCCGGCCCTGGTCACTCCACTACTAGGAATCACAACATTTTGACATAGGATCAGTAGACTCTTTCATTACTATGAATCATTATGTCTTGACATATGATTAGTAATCTATTCACTACTAAGAACCACAATCTCATAACTGAGTAATCAGTGGTCTAACACCCCCTAGAAACCACCAGCTTTTTTATCTCTGTGATTAGTGATATTGCACTCGCCACCAATTTAAGAATATATTCAGAATTATAAAAATTCAAAAAATATATTCACCCACCCTAACGGATTGTCTCATCTTTGCTCTTAAGCAAAGTCACATAGCAATCATACATGCTATAATTGACACAAGGATAACATACTAATTGCCTCTAATTAATTCAGAGATATTATCATGTAATCTTATTATTTCCTTTAATCACACTTGATCCATCTAGATCTTTCTTTAAGAACCTCTCAAGACTCAAGGTTCTCAGGTGGAACAACATTTTCTGTTGTCACCTCTTGAAGCCATTTATGAAAAATCACAACAAAAATTCACTATTCTATTTTTTCAAAAACTAAACTTAACACTGGAAAATCCAAAGTCTGAAATTTAATTAAAACATGATCTCACCACTTATCTTAGAATCGAACATGGTTAGGAAAGTTTCCAAGAAGACTAGAGGAGTCACATCGGTCCCACTTAAGACACAATTAACCTTACACAAAACTTTCAAGAGCATTTGATTCCTAGTCCATAGGAAACAACTTTAAAATTAAGTTTTTCTAGAGATAAACTAGGTTAAAACATATCAAGTTTACAAAACTTACAAGCAATTAAAAATTACTATCAAAATTACACCACTCATAAAAGTTAACCAGTACTCTCAGAACTGAGCTTATTATTTTTGAATAAAAATCAAAAGTATTTTAGCTAATGCTAAAATTTGGTTTCTTTTTTCAAAACAAAACACTTCGGAAATAATCAAATTATAACCAAAGACTTTCTCAAAACTTGGCTTCCTATCACTTTGGAAATAAAAAGATTAAACCCAAATATTTCCTCTAAGCACAAAGGTTTGAAACCAAATCCATTTTAGTTTTCATTTCTAAAGATAACTCAGAAATACTTTTTAGCCAAGGCTAAACACTTTGGTTTCTGTTACATAAAATCAAACCATTGAGGAATAATAAAATTAATCCTAATGATTTTCTCTAAACCTGAAGGTTTATAAACATCTTTCCTTTCCCCTTTCCACTATGGTGAAACTATTACAAATTACAAATTAAAACTACTACAAATTAAAATGCAACTGTTATAATTACAGATTATCTCAATCTGCAAAAACGAAGTTCATGGTTGCATCCGGAATCGTCTGTTTAGCCAAGAACACATTTTTCCACTTGTAATGCTTATCTTTGTGTAAAATACATTACAAAACTCTATCCTCGTTGTCACTAAATATCACAGCCCGAAAATAAAAACAGTAACCCATCCACAACATTAATAAATAACAACAATGGTGAAGAATTATCTTCCATCAAGTCAAGTTAAGTTTACAAAAGGATAACATATGTGGATATACATTCACAAGACGGGGTCGAAATATGTTTTGTAAGCTTTGCAAGAGTGATCCTTTATAAAGGGAGGCCTTCTCCTCCCTCCTCAAGGGTTACAAAAAAGAGTTCCAGAGGTCTGAATTAGGGTTGGGTCTTGTGTATCTATCTATCTCTATATCTCCCTCTCTTTTCCTCTTTGTGTGTGTATTAAGGTGTTTTGTTCATAGTTTTGCACACAAACACCTAGAGTCACACTTTCCTTTAGCTACTGAGGTACTAAGGAGTGATTTTCAGAGTTCTTGAGTTGATCTAAGCTTGGAGAAGGGGCTGGAGTGGTCCTTGTGAAGAAGGTCTTCAAGGGTAAGAACTTTACCCCTTTATTCCCCATTTTTGCATAGGCTTTTATCCATCCTTGCATCTGTTTTTGAGCTTAACTTATAACATATAAAAGTTCTAATTTTAAGTGCATAAAATAGTTGTTTAAGGTTGTTTTGGTGTTTGGGGTTGTTTGACCCCTCTTAGGCCTTGTTTGGCCCCCACTTTGTGCTATTTTGGTGAGCTCCGGGACCACCTTGTTTGGGCCTCCTCACCACTGAAATCCAGAGGGATTTTAGTGGTGGGGATAGTGCTTTGAGGTCCTAAGAAGGAGAGGGCCATCCCCTCTCCTTGTTGTTTTCAAAAGTTATCATTTTAGCCTCATGCGTGAGCACCATTGTTGAGTTCATGTTAGCCATGTCTTAGCTAGTATTTGTTCTTATTTTTCCATGATATAGCACTATTTTAAGTTGGTTTAGACACACCATGCTTGCTTTGTATACTTGTCTTGTAATGCCATGAATTGCCTTAACATGCTTTGTGCTTTGAGCCTTGTTTCTAGCATGTTTTTGGCCTAGGTTTGTGAAGATTTTATGCATGTCTTAGTATGCTTAGGTTCTGTTTGGAGTTGTTTTGGCCATCCATGACATGCTTTGCATAGCCACCTTGCATTTTGGCTTGTTAGCCTTGGGTGTGTGAGTGTTGAGCATGCATTACTTGGCTTGTTTCAGTGGTTTGGCACCACTTATAACATCATTTCAGTCCTTGTGGTATGCTTGTATGCTTGCATTTGATGCTCATTTAATGCTTCAAGAGGTTGGTATCTTATGCTTTATGTTTGAACCCTTTTGCATGCCTTTAGACTTAGGCCACTCAGATGCCATCTAGGTGTGCCTTTGACCTTGTTTTGATCTGCCTTGGGGTGGTTTTAAGTCCCCATGGCCCTTTGGGACTTGCTTCATATAGCCATGGTTTAAGCCACATGGCTTGCCTTGAGTTTTGGACATAGTTGCATGCCTTGCTTGCATTGATAGGTTGATTTGGCATCATTCCTCATGTATTTTCAAAGCTTGCTATGCTTGCCATTAGTCCATGTTTATCCTCTTTTAAGTGTGCTTAAAAGTTGCTTCTTTATGCTTAAGAGTTGGGCCATGTGTGCATGCATGTTTGTATGTGTTTTGGCCTTAAGCCATTTGGCCACTGTGGACCTAGTAGAGAGCTGCCCATCTTGGTGTAAGTCCCTCCTCTTTGCATGTTGTTGCATGCTCGCCTTGTGTGTTGTTGTATACTTGGCCTATCGCATGTGTTGCATGCTTGAATCACATCACATTTAGCATGTTTTCTTCATTTTGTCTTGGTTGCTTAACATGTTACGTGTCTTGCATGTTTGCATGTCGCATTGCATATTGCATGCTTGTTAGCTTGCACATGTTGTTACATGCCTTGCAGTTTGTTTT